CGTACGGGAGGCCGGGGTGGGAGATGGGGGCTGCCCCGCTGCGAAGCGGCGACGACGACGGCGACAACACTTTCACTTTCGTTGCCGGGGTAGGGGGGAACAGTCCGGTGTGCTCCCCGTCCTCTGCCAGGACCCCACGCACAGGGATGCTACGGGGACCGGAGCCGGGCCTGCTTTCCGTGGTACTCGGCGCATCCGGGGCGCAGTGTCCCAGTGTCCAGCCGCGGCTGGAAGCAGGTCTCCCTGGGGGAAGGGGAACCCGCTTTTTTTTACATCGTCGGGACGCTGCAGGTTAATGAAAGAAGAGAAACAGCGAAAGCAAAGGAAAAAAACCCAGAAACTCCCCGGAGAGAGGCAGGGCCGTGAACACCGGAGGAAGCGTGATTTATTCCGTTGTGCTCCGTGTGAGCTGTAATGGTACCTTGTTACCTCGGCCCCGGGCTGGAACTGCCCGTTTGGCATACAGACCCCGAAGGCGTGGCTGTCCCCTTCCCCTCGGGCCGCACCAGCCTCGCGGGGCCTCGCCTGCCTTCGCTGCTGATTTACGAGCTGTTGGCGTAACAAAAATGTGAACGTGAATAAAATGTCCTCCCCGCTCTCCTTCCTGTCGTCTTTTCCTGGAATCGAATGGCAGACTCTGCCATCAGCGCGCTCTGCACGGTTCGTTTTCCCTCAGGATCACAATTATTTTCACCAAAACCGACATCTTTTTTTTTGCAGCAGCAGAATGCATTGTTTTGCTGCACCCAGATGCTGATTCTTCATTTTCTTTGCAAGTTACTTTTAAGCCTTGTGACAGCAAAGGCTCGTGTCCTGTCCTGAAGCGATGCAATAACATGATTAAAGTGCTGTCCTTAGATTTATTTTCTTTTTTTTTTTTTTCTGTTTGGTAGCTGTCGAGAGGTCCCTGCCGTTTGGGAGCTGCAAGTCATAAAGGCACGTCAGGGTAGGAAAGGTTGACATCAGCCAGATAAAGACCGAGGCTTAGATGAATGACACACCATTTGCTACGCTTTACTGAGATAACTAAAAGTGAAACTGCAGAGCTGGGTATCCTGGAGGATTATGTCACATCCATTTCTAGGGTCTGCCCTGCCTTCCGCTCCCAGCAGGTGGAATTCAAGGCAGCCTGTGTCAGTGCAGTTATCACTGCTCTTTCCAGCTGTGGATACCTTCTCCTTTCCGAGCACAGTCCCAGAATCCCCATCTAAACTTCTGCCTGATATTCAGGCTGGTTTTTAGCACAGGATACAGACGATCTCCTGGGTGATGGCAAAAAAAAACCCAAAACAGGGCTCCAGGGAGTTCATTTCCATGTGAAACGTCTGGATTGGAGATGACCTGAAATGCTCCAGTGGGATGGTTGTTCATGATGAACTTTCCCTCCGTTCTGAGGTCAATCCTTGCACGCTGCTGCTGTCACTAAAGTCAGCTGAGAAGGTTCTGCTTTGGATTCCTGGAATTGAATTGTCCGGGATTGGCAGCAGGGTTTTGTCAGCAGTGATCTGCCCCTTGACAGATCGCCAGGGCTGAAGCCTGGCTGCCTGCAACCCATAGTGGCAAAGAGGGTGATTTAAGTGTTCTGTTTCCAGTTCTGCCTAGGCTCCTGGCATTTGGATACTGTTTTGAAACAGATTTATGTTGTGTGATTTGTTGTGTCACAGCACACTGCAAAGTTTTCTGTATAGATAACTCATGCAAAAGCTTTAATGCTATTTGTTGACCCGGCTGTCATGCAGCATATTCATTTCGATACTGAGAATCATCTTGCAGTTTCAGCGTAGCAGTCACGAGTAGCAAGGCTATAATAGCCCCATGACACAGGCTTGCAAGACAGAACTACGACAACCTGCCTAACCAGGATCTCCTCCGTTTCTGTTCTTCCATGGGAGCTGAGCTTAGCAAGGTACCTCTCCTCCCTTGGAGCCCGGAAGCTGATGATGAAAGATGCTGTATCTGGAGGTCAAGTCATTGCGTTGGATTTGAATGCAGAAAGCAAGGAGGCTGTTGAGTTTGATTATCACCAGCATGAGTGTGTCTGTGCGTCTCACCACGGTCAGCCTGTGAAGAAGGTGGAGTGTGTTAGGGCTGGGACTGCACGGGTCTTGGAGCTTCTAGCACGATAGATTGTAAACTATTTTTTTCTTGTACTAGTGTCAGAGCATTTCACTGATGCAGCTAAACTGCTGTTCTTCTCAAGCGATGTGCTAGTCTCCAGATTTCAGAAGAGCTGATGCACCCCCACGTTATCTACATGTGGTGGGGATGTGCCTGGAGTGTCAAATCACATTTTTTAATGATGTGAGGCTGCGTGTGGGAACAGCCGGCATTCCAGCAGGGTCTTCAAGCATGGGATCCCCCCAGCAGGCACGCGTGCTCCTCCTGCAGCAAGGCACCACTGTGTCTCCCGTGCAGCAGATCTGTAGGACAGTCAGCGGGCTGGTTCACGGGCTCCCGTGCAGGAGAGAGGCTGCCGTGCCACACTGGCAGCCTCCGAGCACCAGGCACCGTGGCTGGGAAGCAGCAGTCAGATGAAAGAGGCTTACACACGTCTGCTAAAGAGGGTCTGGAAGCTGCCGTGGATGTCAGGAGCAGCCTGGCCACAGTGGGCAGGGACACCAGTGAGCTCGTGTGCCTTGCTGAGGAACCCTGGTGTGCGCGTAGGGGGTTTTGGACCTTGCAGCGAGCTCATTCACAAGCCGTACCTCTTCGTACCCTTCACAGACACAACCACGTGTCTATCTGAAGATGAGATAATCCCTTTATTCTTTCCTCCTGTAGACTTCCACAATGGATGAGACCTCAGACGAGCCTCCCACTTCTGCTGTTCTCTTAGACAACTGCCACTTCTCACAGGTCATCTTTAACAACGTGGAGAAGTTTTATGTTCCCGGAGGAGATATAATCTGTCATTATACCCTGACGCAGAACATTGTTCCTCGCGGGAAGGACTGGGTGGGCATCTTCCGAGTAAGTGAATACTGTGAAACCAGATGTGCCAAGTATGGGAAGGCAGCAGCAGGCAGAAACAAATAGCGTGGGCTTTGATAGAACAGAGTTGGGGAATTTTTTTTCTGTAATAACCTTGTGTAATGGAGCATCTTTATTGTGCCTAGGGACAAAGTGCCAGACCTGCTGTGACCTGAAGAAATTCAAGGCTAATTAAACACTCTGATTATCCTTTCATGCATAGACCACAACTCTTAAAAGTCAGGATATCAATGCAAAAGTCCTCCCAGTAACTGATCTATGTGGAAATATAGTTCCATTACCACAGGGTAAACATGAACTGTGTGTTGCCATAGAATGATTTCGCTGTTGCAGGTGGGATGGAAAACAACTCGGGAATACTACACATTCATGTGGGCTCCTCTGCCCGGTGATGCCCACAGGGATACCGCTGTGCAACAACAGATCCAGTTCAAAGGTGAGTGGGGAGCTTGGGTCACTCAGGGGATGTATGTGCATGTGCACACACAGGCACGCACATACAGACTCCCGCTCTGCTGCCACCAAGAAGCACTATGTTCAGAATTACAGTATATCTGTAGGACTGTCCTTTGGGAGACTTATTTCAAATCCCATAATCACAAAATTTTGAATCTGCTAAATTCTGCCATCCTGATGGAGTGATATTGTTTGTTTTCTTATCACTGGCACTAGGAATTACTAACGGTGCAGGAACAATACTGCACTAGGATGTCTCTGTTTTCTGAGGTTCTCTCTGTGCTATATAGTTAAGAGACTTGAATAATTAGAAACTGCATATGACGGGGTTATTGCGTTTGTCTGAAGCTTACTACCTACCAAAAGATGACGAATACTACCAATTCTGCTACGTCGACCAGGATGGCGTGGTCCGGGGAGCCAGTGTGCCTTTCCAGTTCAGAGCAGAGACTGAGGATGATATCCTGGTGGTTACCACACAGGTAGGTGTCCTCTCTTCCCCTGCTTTTTACTGCCTCTGCTTTTACTGGCATATGCTCACCGCTGCATGGAGTGACCCGGTAAATTGGATGCCAAGCTAGAACTCATCAGACCTGGATTCTATTCTTGGCTTTGCTACTGATCTGTCACACAAATTTGGGCAGCCTTTGTTTTCTACCTGCCATTTATCACTTAGATTGTAAGCTCCTTGTAATGGGGAGTGACTTAATACATAGCCTTTCAGGGCATCTTGAATATTTTTCAATGAAAATGTTATTTTCATGGAAACAGCCTCCCATTAGATGGGAGTGAGAGCATGGAGAGCATGCACATGGACAGTAATTGAGCTGCTGTGAAGCCAAACACTCCTATTTTGCAGTGTCTTCTGTGCAGCCTTTTTGTTAATGGCTACGCAGCACATATGGTCCTAATCTAACAAACTGCAAAAAGCCCCAAAGCTCTGCCTCTGCTCATTTCTGCGGACACAGAAGGCATCGAGCATCTCCAGAGGTCAGCGGTAGTACGTGCTCCGTATTCAAGAATTGGGCTGATGGTCAGCTTTGGACAGACTGGGGAGAGTGAAGTAGCAGTCTGGTCCGCACTGGTAGTGAAAGCACAGAAGTAGACGTTGTTCCCTGTTGAAGAGCTCATCTTTTTTGCTCTTCGCAGGCTGCTATTTGGAATGTAGCTTTTCAGTGCTTCTGTTATGACCGAACAATTTTGTTGCTTGCCAGGGAGAAGTGGAAGAGATTGAACTACAAAACCAAAATTTGCGTAAAGAAAACGAGGAGCTGAAAGCAAGCTGTGCAAGTCTCCAGAAGCAAAACATCGATCTGCAGGAAGAGCTCAACAAGACACAGGTAAACAAAGAAGTTATTATATTAATTTATTATGTTAAGTCAGAAGCTGTAAGTCTGAAAGATGAAGAGGGTCTGAGTCAGGTCTTGGTCCACTGTATACTTCCAGGAGAAAATTAAAGAGGTTTCTCCCCGTATTACCTGTTTAATCCTTTACCAAATAGTACAACACCTCTACTGTGATAAGAATAATAATGATGAACAAGAGACATCAGCAGACACAGAAGTCAGGAACATATGGGAACGGGAGTGTTCAAAAATATTTTGTAGGCTGTCCCAAAATCACATTATCGTTATCTTTTCCTCCTTCATTTTTGCTCAGGGCTTAATATAAATTAAATGGGGTCTGAAGGAGTAGTCAGGATGCAAAGGAGAGATCTCCCTCCTTCAGAAGGGCTGCCTGGAAATATTGCATTTGAGGGATTTTGTCTCTAGTGCAGAGCAGGACTATTGCTTGGATCCCATTTACCTCCTATCAACTTCACTGTGATTTTCAGGAGCTGCAGAATAGTTTAGAGTCTCTAAGGAGCAACACAGAGAAACTGGAGCTGGAGCTGAATTCTCTGAAAAAGGAAAATAAACATCTAAAGGAGCTGGATGACTGCAGAGAAGCAGAACTGCAGCAGTAAGTGTATTTACAGCATATTTCAAAACAGGATTTCATGTAAGCATCTTGCCTTTATGGATTAAATTTCCATCCATGAAAGTATGGTGTGTTTTGATTTGTTCTGAACAGACTCAAAGAGCAAATTCAGAATGTGACCTCTGACAAGGAACACCTGGAAACCAGACTGAAAACAGCCCTGGATCGCATGGACCAGCTGCAGGTAGCAAACATACAGCTGCCCTCTTTTGCTTTGCTTTGCCTCTGACAGAGAACTGAGCAATCCTGAGCAAATATGTGGTATATCAGTTTCTTTTTTGATTACATCGGTTATTTAGGAAAACGTCAACCCTTGATGTGATTTGACCTCCAGGAAACTTCAAGAAATCTGTGTTCTGGAAGGAAGGGTAGATGGGGGTGTCCTAAGAGACACTGTAAGGATTTTATTCTCTAAAAAACATCCCCTTTGCATGCTCATTAGGTTGACCAAAATCAGACTGTTGGTTACCTCCTGCTAGCTAAGGATCCAGGCAGAAAACACTTCTGTTTTGAAAAACATTTGAAAATTATGTTCAATACTTGGGTGATAACAAGACTTCTAGCTGGGAGGTATGTGAAGGAAGGTAGGCTGAAAATAGCTTGGTCGTTAGGTCTGGGACATGGGACACCCAGAACGATGAGCTGACCATCTGGCTATAGAGTCTCTGTTTTTCTCGTTGTTCTCTGACTTCCCAGCCTAGAAGTGTCGTGTTGAAACTTAGAAAGCTCCTCAGAGAACGTGTGAATGAATACTGCATTCTGATGAATACATCAGCCCCAGTATATCGCCATGGAATTCTTCTCAGTTTCTACAAAGATTTTAATGGAAAAATGCTTACAGAAAAGAAAAATTAAGCAGATATGGGTTCTGAAGCTTTGCTTTCTGCAGCAAAAGGTGCCTGTGCTCCTCACTCAGAGCCGTTCGATTTTCACTTTCTGCCCACCCTTCTTTCTCCCTAGTCTCAAGTGTTGAATTACGAGAAAGAAATGGAAAACCTGTCTCATACGACCCATGACAAGACAGAGCAGCTTGAAAGTTTAAAGGAAGAAAATCGTCAGTTACGCATGACTAGAACCCAACAGGTAAAGCCTTCCCTGTGTATCACAGTGCTTCGGGCAGCCAAGGCAGAGAGGCTGAGGCATCCTTGGCAGTGTGCAGGTACAAATATTGCTCAATCTTACGCGAATCTAGGGGATTCCATGACAGAAAGAGCAATGTCTATGGTGGCATGGGTGTCCACATAGGTGGGTCTGTGGACACACCATCTCACAGATTCTTACAGTATACATATACTCTTAGAGTATATACATATGTCATAGTTTTGGAAGAAACGCCTGTATTACATACAGACATTGTAATTCTGATTCTCTGTAGCAGGAAGATTCAGTCTCTGTCTTGATCTGTTTTGAGTCAGCTCAAGGGATAAAGGACATCAGTGGGAATTCAGGATTGATATTTGGCTGGTTGCAAATCATTGCATCTAAGCAAAACTGTTTCAGGACTGGGACTTGTGAGTAAATAAAACAAGTTACACTAAATCTGCCCAGACTATATGCTGCTAATTTTACTTCCAACAGGAAGGTGACTAGTAATTTGTGTGAGGCAGCAACCTTGTTGGTCTTCCCTTTTCTCTGTTGATGTTTTTGTCTCTTTCTCATCTTTAATAACTGAAATTTAGCATTTAATGATCAATAAAATAGATGCAATATGCTCAGAATGCATCAAAATAAGCTGTAAACAATACAAAGTTTCTGTTCTGGAGTTTGGTGCAGAAGGAGCAAAATCAGGAGCCTGAACATGGAAAACTTAAAGGGGTCGAAGGCCAAACTCTCACTTTGCCTGTCCCACTGTCTGCAGAGTGAGCATTTCTGGGGGTGAAGCTGGGGAGATGGTCCCAAGAGCACAGAGCAGGTGTGGAACCTGCAGATACCTGTGCAGGGGAGCTGGCAGCGCTGTTTTCCACCTTCTTTTGATTTGCAGAACCATCACAATTTCCCTGTGATGTTGCAGATGACTGTGTATAACAACTTTAAGTTTATGGACAAAAGGCTCGCTTTTCTTAGGTAACTTCTGCAGACCTTTTAGAAGTAATCCACAAACCTCAGCATTGGAAATCTCTCCTTGAAGGAATGTGAAGGATGTAAAAGAAAAGGGCAGCATACTGCCACTGGCAATGACTGAGGCCATCACATCATCTTTAGCCTGTTGCCCTCAGTGACCTTCTAAAGGTGCTTCTCCCTCTGTATGTGCTGCTCAGGAAGCTTTTGGAGACTCTACTCTGACTTTGGCATTGAAAATTAGATGCCTAAAATAGATGATGTGATTACCTCCGCTGTGATACCAAATGTTCAGGATTCTTAAGTGATGCTTTGAGGATGACTGCAGAATCCCTAAGTGCTCTAGCTTATCTAATTTACTGATTTAATTCAAGAGTCAACAAGAAGATTAATTCCTAAGGGTGTACTGGCTATCCACCATCAATGCAAGTCTCACAGCACCATGAAACCTGGCAGACTTGGATCTGGATCCACCTTCCAGGGTGGATTTTTCAGCTGTATGAGTTCCTTCAGCCTCCCTCTTTGTTTGACCTGTCATATGTCACCTTCAGAGGTCATGTGTCATCTCGCTTGTTGTAATGAAAATACAGAGCGTGAGTGGTGACATGGAGATATCCTAGGTGACAAACTATGAAATGGTAAGACTCCCGCTGAAAGTGAAGGGTTATTTGTTGGTAATAAATGCAGCATGAGGCAGCTAGTATATGACAGTTCCAGTGCTTGGAGCTGTCATTGTTTTATTTGCTAGTTTACCATGATTTATCAAATAACACTCTTCCTTCATAGCATCAAAACCGTGACTTAATGAAAGAACTTGAGGAACAGAAGCGTTTGTTTCAGATTCTGCAGGCAAAAAAGAATGAAGCCGATGAGGAAAATCAGGTGAGAACTTGGCACAACTCCCTTGCCTTTCTCCTGTACTGAACACGACACTAATCTCTCACTCTAGTGTTCAGTTCCATTAACCCTTATACCAAATGGATCATTAATTGTGCCTGCACGTGGACCATTACCTAAAGCCAGGCTGCCAGGCTGTCTGTAGGCAAGTACAAATGACTGTGTGCGTACACTCATGGTATGTTGCTGCTGCCACGTCTGTACAGCCTAAGAGGAAGGGTCCAAAAGCTTGCACCTTTTTCCTCCACCACAGACTGGTTTACCCATAATAGCATGAGGAATTTCAAAAACTCCGAATGTAGATTAATTCTGACGCTACTGAAATGAATGGACTTACTCGTTTAAATGGACATAGTCTTTTTGTCCAGTTGAAACAATGACTGCTCAGTTTTGTTCCTTAGTCTGCATAACTTCAGGATCGTCTTCTGTCTTTTAAAATGTATTACTGTATTGTCATCATCTCGTCTGCCTTTCTGAGCAGGCCACAGAATAGATCCTTGCCCTCCCTTACCTCACTTTCCCATTCTGTGAAGCAGGACTAATGCTGAGCTACCTAAAAGAAGTTTAGAGCCATTTTGATTCTGATCTATGTTAGTGCAAAGCATGACTTTTCTCTGAAGTGGTCTCCTAAGCTTCTGAAATTTCATTCTGCCCTTCTGTCCCTTTGCAGAAACTAAGGGAAGAGAATGATGGACTCCTGAGGCATCTCTCACAGGCTGGAGAGGTTTCTTCCTTCTCTTTTGTTTCACAAGCTCAAGCTCCAATTCCAGCTCCTGAAGTAGGAGGCCTTCTGTTTGGAAATCAGTATTGTGGTGAGATTACTTGGCATTCTGTCTAAAACCACAAATACATGGCAGTTAGAGTCTCAGCAAATTATCCTCCCTCTCAAATTGAATGCTGTATAAAAAGACATTATTAGCAGCACCTCTGTGCAGCTTTGCGTGTTGCAGATGACTTGGCAGCTGCAAAATGCTGCCAGGTGTTAAAAGTTGACTTAACTGGTCAGCTGTCTGTCCATTTTCTGCCGAGAGAGACAACTATTAGCTAGTTTTTTCATCTGTGAGACAGCTATTCCGTGGCTTATGTCCAGTTTCCATAGTCCTAAATAGAGAGGTTTAGATCCAGAGCCACATCCTCACGTTTCAAGAATTACTAGTTAATCAGCACATTACATTGTTAATAATTTTGTTGAGGCTAAATTGTTGTCTTCTTTTTCCAGGAGCAAACCTGGGGGCAGGAGCTGCAGACATAGTAAGTAACGTGGACACAATTGGACATAAATTAGTGGTTTATGGACACAAATTAGTGGTTTGAAATAAAAAGTTCCAAGTTCAGCTCTGTAACTAGTTGTCTACATACTGGTTGAGTCCTGGTAGGATAGCAGACAACAAAATGGAGCCATATATGCTTAACGTGTAGAATTAGTGAGAGTTACATGTCTTAAGGAAGAGAAAGGAAATTCTGTTGACATTAAAGGACCAGCTCTTGGCAGCAGCTAATGTCAGAATGAGTAGCATGCAGCTGCTAAATATTTTATTTCATGTTGGAGACATGGACATGTGCTATGTAGGATGGAAAGTTAGAGTACCTCTCAGAAGCTCTTGACTTCTAAGTGCTATTTAGAGAAGCCTGGAGACATTTAAAAACCTGAGAGTGTTAGAAGTCAGAAAGACTTATCCAGAAGTGTTAATATCTGACTACTAAACTTTTCTGTTCCTTCTCTTTGAATATAATTTTTAAACTGACTGTCTTTGCATTTGCTTTGTACTTCAGGCTTCTATAAGGAAGTGCCCCATATGCGATGAAGTATTTCCTGAAGATATTGAAACAAGTCAGTATGAGGCCCATGTGCAGAGCCATCTTCTGGAGTGCCCACTCTGCAGTGAGACCTTTGAAAAGTCCAATAAGCAGGTGTTTGATGACCATATTTTTTGTCATGGCCTGGAATAATTCTGAATTCGTACCTGCTCTGTAGAATAGGTGGCAGAGGCCTCAGCATAGAGTAGACCAAAATCACTGTATAGGCTTGACTCATGCTAATAAGATCACCCAGACAAGACTGACTATGCCACTAGTACTGTAATTCTGAGCTTTCTGTTCATGCAGCACATGACCAACATATAAATCAGGTCAGACATCCACGTCCTGAAACTGAACCACCGTCATCAAACTCAGGTCTTGGATCAAGTATTGTTAAACGAGTTACAAATCCTATAATTAGTAAACTAGTTGTTCACAGTTCTTCAGAACAGGGTTGGCCTGTAACCGTACATCCAGGTAGGGATCCAAGTGATGGGATGTGGTGCAGGAGTTCTCTGTACTTGGCTGATATAGCTCTATTATAATGGTTTTATTCTTTAATATAGCACTGTGATTGCTAACCAAAGACCAGAAACATTCTATAATCTTTTAGGATCACACCTGCAGTCCTGCTCAGCTTCTGGAACACAGAATTAATTATTCATAAGCAAAAAAGTCTAAATCTCTTCTTTCACCATCAGTCGTAAAGCAAGTGAGAGAGACACATTTTTATAAATCTGAGACACTGAATATCTGTTTGCAGATCTGAAGGTCTAGGGCCTCCTTTTGGCAAAGCAGGCAGCATGGCTTATTCTAGGGTGAGGCGCTTGCACTGTTTTCTTCATCCATCTTGGGATGTGGAGAACCTGAAATTTCTGAAACGGGGAAGGTCGGTATGGCATGGAGCCCACAGAAAAGCAGTAGCTGAGTTGTCTTGGCAGCACAGAGGGTACATAGCCTTTCAGTCAGAAACTGGGCAACCTCATTTAAAGGAAATTATTAATTTGGATTGTTTCTCTTTTATGTTTCTAACCCTTCTTGATTTAACAAGAAGACCCTGTTCTCAAACCAAAACATTGTGATTCAAAACTAAGTGCCTTGGGATATTCCAATGCTTTGTGCACAGATTATCCAGTTACTGTTTTTATTTCATTTCTGCTTCGGGATTTTCAATTTATGATTAACATATCTTTTTTCCATGCAGACAGAAATGGGTAAAGGTTTATTATGCAGCTGTATTAGACTGTCTTTCCTG